GGGGTTGATCCTACTCCAAATCAACACCGTATTCTACTGTTCTATATATCAATGCCATGGCAAAACCAAGACGAGTACCGATGCCATCACGCAAACGGTGATGGCATGGGAGATACCGAGTAAATTCAGCGATAAGGCCAGAAGGCACCGAGATGACGTGACTTTCTAACCTTGCACAAGGCTTCGTTCCGTTGCTCCCATACGGCATCTATCGAGGTTGCTCAGCAACGTTGCTCATCCATCGCACAACCCTGGCCAATATAAGAGTTCAACTTTAGCCCTCTTGCGTTCCCAACTCGACACAAACGAGATCACGAGTTGCGTTTCCGACTTGAGTCTAACCGTTGGTCTGTGCCCGTTTTCCGGGCTTACGCAACTTGGACGCACGCAATCAAATGCCGAAAGCTGTAATGGCGACCCTGTACACTGGAAAAGTTGTGTATACCACTGATCTTGACTGGTTAAGAAGTCTCCCCAGACAGTTTCGCGACCCAACTACCCAGTCGTCTTCAACCACGCCGCTAAAGGACTCAAGGACGTTCCGACTCAGCAATAATGTTATGTCTACTCCAGTGAGTCACTATAACATTAACCACGAGCTCTTCACAGCACTGCCACAATGAACCAAAGCGGTCCGTCAGTTCCGACATCCGGTCGATTTCCACGACGACGCTCACTATCTGAAGGCCACAACCTTCAACTGTTGGGGAACCAAGTGAAGAAAGAACCCAATGATCGACCAACTCGGAGCGATAACGAGCTGCATTCTACTCTTGCCAAGCGCCCCCAGTCTACCAGTGTGGTCGTCACTGCTCAAGGCGTGAAATTTAAAGACAAATACAACCGATACCAGAGCAGACTGGAGCATCTCATGGCGCTCGCAACAGATCCGACTAGCTCTAAGAGCAACGCTTTGCTAGCTCAGAAGGCACTCAGGTATCGCTACAAGTCCATTGAACGACGGCACACGTCCAACTAAACATAATACTTGTCCACCTATCTTAAAAGACTCGTAAAGTGCACACCGGTACAATAGTATTATA